ATTTAGCCAGATAGATATTTATTCCTTAGTGGTTTTACATCATGACTTAAACCTGGGGCTTCTCAAACACTGTGAATTACAATCCTTGACATAGATGTTCACTGGGGTTAGACTTCAGTTTCTGTCCCTCACATTTCCTATTGTTCAGACTCCTCTGAAAGACCAACTAGCAGGAAACATTAAGAAAAAGAAACTGGGTGGCAGTTTAGCCTAACTAACTGGCCCTAAACAAATGTTTCTATTTTGATCAGCTCCATGAGTTGTATCCAGCCTGACCTTTTTCTAAGCAAAGACTCAGTGATGGACATAGGTTTAAAATGCAAAAATCTTTACTGTTACCAAAAGGGAGTTCAAATAACTATATGTAGGCTCAAGAAATCTTTGGAAATATTGTAACATCTTTGCTTAAAAAAATGACAAATATTGTACATGAAAGCTAACTTCCATCGTTTCCACAAAATAGCTGTGTAAAGAAATTAAGGAGGAAAGGGTACCAGATATAGCTGCAGAGCAAGGACTGATCGGAAAAGTAAAAGCTCAAGTTAAGCCATCTAATTTGGGATGAAAACCTGTTCCGAAACAATCTGAGTAGGGACCGCTACCTTTAGCCTTCTGCTCCTTGATAGGTATCCTGCCTCTGCACAAACTCTCCACAAAAATATCCAAAGGATTTGACTGTCACTGAAATAAACATTCCTTTTAGTATTTGAAAAATTGCCACAAAAAAAAGAAAGAGGACTTGAGGCCAGTTTCTGTTAGTGGAGTAAATCTCAAGTGCATTCAGCAGCTTAGTTTGAGTTGTTCCAGGTTTGCACTGTGGCTAATTAAAGTAAAACCTGACCCTTCATCAGTGTTTCATAAAGCCTATAAGGTAAAATTGAGAGCCAGGTAGCCCAGTGCAGGATGAGCCTTTGGAATATTGCAGCAGGCAGGAGTGAGGATGCAGGGTTATTTCCAAAACTTTATTTGCCAAGGCACCAGTATTCATCAGATTACTCTGCAGCACTTCATACTGATTGATCTAACTTAACCTAAAATGAAAGAGCAGTAAGGGATCTTCTGTCGACCCACCCTACCTGCCAACTTCGGACTGCCCCGCTATGGGGTTATCAACTCTACTACTGTCTCTGTTCAGAGCCAGACTTCTACGAGGCAGCCCGTGGTGATGGGCAGCCACGAACCACCACCAAGGATAGAAAAACTTGAACACGTACGTTCAAGGTGAGTAAATGCAAGCTTCTGTGCCAACTTACTTAAATATGAAAACTATGCTTTAAGATTTCTTTTTTGAACAGTGTGTTTTCAAGCTATGTTCTTTAAAAAAAGAAAATTATGTTCAAATGAAGAATAATTGTTTTAGAAGCCACAAACTGCCAATGGACTGCCTCTTTCCTGGAAAAGATGACCTCAGTTCTAAGCATTTTGATAGCAAAAGTAATTCTCCTTGGGAATGTGGTCAGGTCTAGTCCGGAATCTGCCTTGCAGTTGCAATCAGTATCTCTAGCATCATAGCGCATCTTTTCCCAAGACCCATAAAATTTATTGGTCCTCATTTGTGCACACCCTCAGATACCATGAGAAACGAGCTTTGGGTATGGCTGTGGTTGATGGATGCTGTTGGGGTGCAGCTGGAAGAATGCACACAGGGATCTACTGTGGCAGGGTCCTTTCCCAAGAGAAAGCACTGGAAAACTACCTGAAATAGTAATAGTGGATGAGCAAAGAAGGGATAGTAAATTATCAAATCAGCTAATGTTCACACCTCACTAAAATTATTGTCTCGGTCTTTCCCAGCTACATCCAGGTGAAGGCAGCTTCAAAACTCAAAGCCGTATCAGCTCAAGCAACCTATAGCGTAAATGAACATCTTATGAGAGAACGTATGGTTTCACTTATTTGTGGTTAAGTAACTACAGGAGTAGATACATGTGTAAGGTAAAACTTGGCCAGTGCAGTTGATTCGTTGGGTGGAAGGTTGCAAACCATTCCTGAGTATCGAAGAGACAAAACTTGTCAAAAGAGGCTATGCAAATAAAAAATAATAAATTTTCAGGATTCATTTTAATGAATTTCAGTAAAATATAATTAATTTAGAATTAATTTATTTCTAGATATGAAAAGAACAGTTTCCCCACTCCAGTGCCATAAACAGGTGCTAATGTTGCCCACTAAGGACAACAGGAATTTGTTATAGTCCTCAGTGAAGACCGAAATTGGGGTTTAATTTAAGTATTAATCTAAGTGTTGTGGTTTAAGTCCATGTATTGCAGGTGTTCTGGAGCTTCACCCTTTTCTAGGGCATGGGTTTAAGCCCAGCTGGCAACTAGGCACCACGCAGCCACTCGCTCCCTCCCCCCAACTCCAGTGGAGAAAAAAAAGAAAAAAAGTAAAACTTATATGTAATGCTAACAATAATAATAATAAAACATAGTAATAATAGTAATGAAAAGGAATATAATAGGTTTGTTTTTTTTAAAAGGGAAAAAATAGACTAAACTGTAATTAAAACTTTCTGTGAATTTCATTTAACATCCATTTTAGCATCCAAGCATTTTCTATTACATTTTAATTGCTGGAACTTGTTTATTTATTCCTAATTGAAACACCCTCAACATTGTTTCCAAGGTTCTCTGACTTCTACTTACTATTTATATTGTATTTACTTATGACAGGATTTCTGTTTAGAAGGCGCCTCGATGCTTGCCTGTGTCTAAAATGTGTCTCCGTTGCCTTTTACTGGGAGGAAGTTTTGACTGCAATCTCCCAAAGCAAATGTTGCATCACTCAACAACCCCTGGGACCGGCTGACAAAAATCATAACATTTCTAACCTTTAATTCTTTGGCCACCTTTATTTAGGCTTCTTCAACCGAGCCCAGGGACTTGAAAGCAGTATTACGCACACTATTTATGAGCGTGCAATCATAATTTATTGCATATAATGGACGTAATGAATGGCTGGGGCTAACATGTTACTTGGTGTGATGTGCTCAGCGGTCGGTGAGCAGGCAGCCGAAGCCTTTCTGCTGGCCGGGCAGTTGGCAAACAGGAGGAAAGTGCCAGCCCTTGGGTCGTTCCTTGCAGCGGGCCGAGCTTTGCTGATTTGCCCCCGTCCTCCTGGCTGTTCTTACATCTTCCCACGTTGCATTTTCCTCTTGAGTCTAGGATGATTTTCTATTTTCTGCTTTACATCAGTTCTTTTACCAATCTCAGTTCTGCACTCCTGTGGGCTTTTTATTTCTACTTTTCTATCCTTCATGAGCCAGTGGCCCACGTTACCTGCCTCTCAAGAGCGGGCAGCGCCTGCTACAGCTCAGCACGATCTTCCCTTTGTAAAAACTGGGGCAAGGGCACGTGTGGGTCCTCTTTGCACGTGTACCCTTATTCTCAGCACATCGAGGCTCATTGTCAAGCATCGTTTGGAGACAGAGAGCAAGAGTCCTTTCACGGGAAAGCCGATACTACCATAGTTCGGCCGGTGAGGTTTAGAAGAGGCATGGCAAAAAAAAAGGGAGAGCCCCAACAACTAGCCGCCCCGCAGCTGGGGAATTCGGCTGGCACGTTCAATCAGGTTTGGAAGGGAGCTGTGGGGAAAGGTGGTCCTGCCCAGCCCCACGCAGCCGTGCCTTGGCTTGGTGCTTGCCCAGCACCTTGCTTGCCCTTGGTTAGGCCCAAGGCTGGGGCAGGATGGGTGCCAGGGAGGGTACGGAGAGCGCAAAGCTCCCTTCCCGCTCCCGACCTCTGCTCTCCCCCCTTCCTCCAGCTCTCGTCTGGTTTCATCAGCTCTTTCTTTTCATCCTCTTCCCTGTCGGTTTGGCATGATCCCGTTCCCTCCTTTCTCCCCCCTCATTCCCTTTTTTTTACTTCCTAACCCTGTTCCCCTGCCATGACACGACAATCCCTCTCCCTTGACTCATCCTCACATCCCCCCAACGTCCCCCATCCCTCTGACGTCTTTCCCCCTTCCTCCCCCCCAGCTCTGACGGACACAGTCCTCTCACCCCACTCAACCCTCCTCCTTTATAAAGAGATTTTCCTCTTTTTTTTTTTTTTTTTTTCCCCCCCCCCCCCCCCCCCCCCCCCCCCCATCGCAGCCTTCGCCGCTCCGCCAAGAGAGACGATCCTGCCTTTTGCTCTTTTTCCCCGAACGGCAAAACCCCACGACGGGAACAAC